ACTTCTTTTGAAAGCTGGGAGATGCTTTCCCTCTATTTCTTGTCATGCTGATGATTTTTTTTCCCATTGGCTGCATTTTGGATGTGCTGGGCTTTTCTTAATGCTCCTTCTGCTGTTGCAGTGGTAGATGACTCTAACTAATACGGAGGTAGTTCTCATTCTGGGGAAAGATGCAAATGTAGAGGGCAGAGCAGTAGGTGTAAGGGCTGCTGGAGGCCAGGCTGTCCTGCAGAGGAAGGGCAAGCCAGGAGTGGCAGCAGCCTGGCAGGGTGCGTGAGCTCCCGGGCCAGGGAGCCGTCCCACAGGCCCTGAGCAGGAAGAGCAGAACAGGTCTGCTGACAGTAAGCGGGGTCAGCCAAAAGTGCAGATCCCCCGGCTGGGCCTTAGGGATGGGCAGGTCTGCCGTCCTGGCAGGACATCCCGTCCATGGGCTGAGAGCAGTGGGGCCCAGCTCAGGCCTGGCTGCAGCTTGAGGGAGGCTGTGACAGCGTCCTCTGGGTGTGAGAGATGAATTGCTGCCCTGGGAGAGAGGGGAGGAACTCCGCTGTCACTGGCAGGGCACGATCAGCCCCTGAGCCCTGTCTCAGGCACGAGCTGAGCAGGAGGCACTTGACCTTTTGCTTTTCTGCACAGTGTTGTTGCTGCCCAGGGCACAATGAGGACAGGGGCCTCCCAGGGGAAAATCTCTCACCTATTGCTCACGGGGAGCTGTTTCAGCCCATCTTGTGGCGGGGAGCCAGAAGGGCTGTTCCCAGCAGTGCTTTTGAGGCTGCTCTGCCTGTGCAGCAGTGCCATGGAACCTCTCATCCCCTTCTCCGCTCGTCACTCGGATCCGTTGCTAAAGCGGCGTCTGTCAGAGTCACGCTTGGGTTTGGAGGCATCCCTGTGGAATGGCTTCCTGCCTTTGCAGGGATTCCTTTGGAGTCCAGAAGCTTGGAGCATTTTTGCATGAGGAACTGCAAAAGGATGGGAAACTGAGGAATCCTATGACAAATGATGTGAAAGCTGTTCTTGGTGGAAAAGAAGAGCCTGGTTTCACTTTGTTTCTAGTCCTGAGCCAGCAGATGATGAATAGAGTCTCCCTGGGCACCCCCTTTTGGGGTTTTCCCAGAATTCACTGCCTTTACACCACGCTGAGTTCCTTTTTTTTTTCTTTCTGTCTGCAGGTTGCTGAACTTTCCCAGCAGTTGGACAGGGAACGTGAACAGTGCATGCAGCTGGAGGCCAAAAATCAGGCTTTGCAGGAAGAGCTGTCTACCCTGAGTGGGAAGTGCGAGAACCTGGCGATGGACAAATGCCAGCTGCAAGAAGAGCTGGCAAAACTCCGGCACCATTTGGAGACCAATGTGGTGGATCGCAGCCAACTGGAACAATGTAAAAGAGAGGTGGAAGAACAAGCAGACCAGGAAATAAGACAAAAACTCCAAGAAGTCAATGAGTTTTTGCAAGTAAGTGACTTTCTCCCCAGTGTCACAGGTGCTACGTAAACTTCTCTTGTGGCCGTGGTTTTGGGTATTTTTCTTTTGCTCCTGTATTCTGTGGGTTAGCTTCTGTCTTTGCTGAAGGCAGTGGCAGAAGGCAATCTGGTTGGGCAGGAGTGCTGTCCTGGGTGTGCAATGTGCCGGCAGGTCCCTGAATCCAAAGGCTGCCCAAGGCAGATCCCACTTTGCAGTGCTTGGGGGGGATCTCTGTGTGCTGCTCTGCTTCTTGCTGCTCATCCTTGAATGGGTTTGGCAACTTGCAGCTGTCATGGCCAGACCTACAGGTGCTGCTTTGTCCTTGCAGGGGGGAAGGTGCTCAGAAAAGGAGTCACTGAAATTCCGGGGGTAGGGGGGGGGGGGTGGAGGTGGGGGATGCTCTTCTTGTCTTTGAAGAATCCTTTTGGATATGCCCTGTCCTACAGATCCTGTGTCTCTTCATTAGTAGCTTTGAAGAAGAGAGCTAATTTGGGCTTCTTTCCCAATGCAAAGAATTCTTTGCCCTGGTAGCTCCTGGGTTCTGCCTTGATTGCTGCTGGGAGTGAGGAGGCACAGCCGCCTCTCTGAGCAAAGCCCTGAAATTGGGTCTGTGCAATTTTGTGCTGGGCAGAGCTCTCTTTTTCTTGTGGGGGTTGAAGGTGCACTGTCTCCTTCAGGCACAGGCAGCCTACCAGGACACACTGGAAGAAATCAGAAGCAGTCATTTGGACTCACTGAAAAACCAGTTAGAAGACAGAATTAGAGATCTGGAACGTGCACTGGGAAGGAGAAAAAGCAACCCACCAGAAAGACCTTTTCAGAGAGAATCCACCCGGGCAGAAGTGGAAAAGTACAAAGAGCTGTATCTGGTGGAAGCCAAAACCAGAAAAAGCCTCGCCAAGAAACTGGAAAGGTAAGTCCATGATGTTTTGGACTGGTAAGAACAGACTCCTTTTTCCTCCTGCATTTTCCTTCTAAAATCCCTTTCCTTGAGAAGGCCAGGGTAGCCCAGAGTTCTTATGGAGGTGACACTTGCTGCTCCTTGCACTTGGTGTGATTTCTTAGAAACAGGCCCTCTGAACAAGCTCAGACCAAAGGATGTGCTTGTTTTGGACACTCTTAATGCCCTTGGCTTTCAGAAGTGGAGTAGTAGTCAAGGATGTGGAGGGTAACTTTGCAAAAGCCTTCCTGCCACAGATGACTCTCTGTGTGCTTGTGAATGTTTCAGAGCTAATGAGAGACTTGCAGAGGCCAACACCAAGCTCCTTTGGGAGCACCACAGAAGCAGATCTGCAGTCCCAAGCAGCGCTGTCAGCAGACATCTGGCTGCAAGTCCACTTCTGGATTCAACTGGCCTGGGACTTCTTGGCATCAGTTTGGGACTGAGCAGAAATCTGGGTCTCAGAACACCACCCAGACACCTGTGGTAAAGCCCAAGACTTCTGCTCATCAGGTTGGTACAAAATTTCCAGAGTGATCAAAGGCCAAAAAAGGTTGAAATGGAAGCAATGAGCTGTGTGACTACATTCTTTGACAAGAGAACCTGTGGGAAAGAGCACTGTGGTGCAGGAACCTCCCACCTAAGTTCTACACTAGATTTACACGTAGTAATCTTCTGTAGCCTGTGGGGTTTGGTGGGAAGCCAACTCCAACCGGCTCCAGATTGTTTTGGGGTCAGAAGTGGGATTGTTTTGGTTCTTTTGGTTTTGTTGTGGGAACATTGTCTGGGAAAGCTGCCAAGAGCAGGTTTGTTTTGTAAACATCCACCACTGTTTTGGGACATACCGGGAGAGCTGCCAAGAGGGATTTTGTTTATCTAAACATAGCTTTGTTTAGGAAGAAGGAGAAAGAAAAATAATGACAATGGCCTTTTTACTAATTTTTTTCATGATTCTTGCTGGTTTTGTGCCTGTCCTAGGACATCCTGTAAGGGACCGTTCAGATGGATGGAATGAATTGCTTCCTTTCCTTAATTTCGACCTCCACAGCCTAGTAGCCAGTTTCCTTAATGGTGGCCTTCAAGGTTTGGTAGCAAAGACTCCTAAGATCAGCTCTAACCCCTCCCTAAATTGTTCAGCGACAATGATCCTAGTGGTGAAGGCAGCGAAAATGCCACTTAAAATTGGAAAGGTGGTGCTGCATTGGTGCCCTTGTTGTAAGAAAGGCCAAAGCTCGAAAGGAATCGCTGGAGCTTTGGGAAGGGGCTTGGAAAGGCCAGTCTCTGGATGGCAAGGACCCCAGCAGAGCTCTGAGACCTACGAGGAGATTACAGTCACAAACCTGCTGAACCAATTCTCACCTGGCTGTTACGATGCTGGGATAATGGGGCTCGAAGCCACAGGTTAGAAGGGTTTGAAGCTCAGCAGTTGGGATCTATGGCTGGAGCTCGAGTCATTGAACAGGAAATGGGAAGAGAGAGACAGAGATTACAGAGATGACAGAGACAGACCAGTAGAACGATCTCAACCATGATTTCGACCTCGACCTCGATCTTGGTGCCGGTCTCGTTCAAGATCTCCTCCCCTCATATGCAGAAGGAGAGAAAATCCCAGACGTAGATCACGTGGTCAACTGTGGTCTTACCTATGCAGCAAGGGAGAAAACATGAAAAAGTGGGATGGTGAGCCCACTTCCAAACTGGAGGGCAGAGTGAGAGAACTAAAACGGAAGGAAGACGATAAGAAAGTTGTCTACGTGGTCGATGCAGATGTCCTGAAAAAAAGGCTGCGATCTCCGAGACGTGGGAAGGTCCGCTTCAGTGATGACAAAAAAGCCTCTGATAAGCCAAAACAAAAATCCGACAGCAAATGCTCTGACCAGGACCGATAGAGGGGCCCTGCCTTCTGCCAGGAGAAGGAGAGGGACACGGCAGATAACCAGGTTTCCTGGGCTGTGTGGGTTCAATGGCCTGGCACATGGGATCCTCAGAGATACCGGGCTTTGATAGATGCTGGTGCCCAGTGTAGTTTAATGCCATGGGAGCATAAGAGTACAGAGACTGTTTCTATTTCTGGAGTGACAGGAGGGTCTCAAGAGTTGTCAGTGGTAGAGGCCGACATAAGCTTGACAGGAGAGCAATGGGAAAAGCATTCCATTGTGACGGGGCCAGAAGCCCCTTGCATTCTTGGTATGGACTACCTAAGAAGAGGATACCTCAAGGACCCGAAGGGGTACCGGTGGGCTTTTGGTGTAGCCACGGTGATTGAAGAGGAGTCCAAGCAATTGTCTGCCCTTCCTGGCCTCTCAGAAGACCCCTCCGTAGTGGGACTACTGCGAGTCAAAGAACAAGAAGTGCCAATAGCCACGACAGACATACACAGGCAACAGTATTGGATGAACCAAGATGCTGTGATCCCCATCCATAAGATGATCCGGAAGCTGGAGAGCCAAGGGGTGGTCAGCAGCATCCACTCCAAGCTCCCTGCCAAGCCAGGCTCACCTGAGGCGGGTCCCGCAGCAGTGCATCCCGGGACCTTTGGAATGTCTCTGGAGAGGGAGATTCCAGCACCTTCCTGGGAAGCCTGTGCCAGTGCTCTGCCCCCCTCAGTGTCAACAAGTTCTTCCTCCTCCCCTTGAGGGAGATCTCCTCAGGAAATGTCCCTGTCTCCTTTCTCATCTGCCAGGCAAACCCCGAGCTGACAGGCCTGGAGGGACTGGAGGCCATCTGCAGCCAGCAGAAGGTGCTGGAGTGGCTCGAAGCCTATTTCCACGCCACCACTCCCTACGCGCTGCCCGCTCTGCCCTGGCAAGAGCCCTGGGCGCCGGCGCTGCAGGCAGGAGCTTGCCTCTGGCCCCAACAGCCCCTTGGCCACGCATCTCCTCCTGCCACGGCTACTGACGGC